TTAATTAATACGTGTTGGTAACTTGTGAATACACACTTTTTGCTAACTTATTATTAAGTTAAAGAAAAGTTAATTTGTACTTAATTTTTTTCCAACCCAAAACTAATTTATTGTAGACAATAGTGTTTATACTTTATACAGTATTTCCATATAAGTTAGATACGAATGATATACATTTTGAACTTAAAACAATTCACGGTGAATATTTTTTTGACATGAAAACGAAATAGACTGAAATAGTGAAATATAATAAAATTGAAAACAAAATATATTAACTTAACTTACTTCTTAAAATGAAAAATTAATTCGTTAATTTAAAAAAGAAATTTAGTAAGTTTTAACAGTTAAGTTAATAAAAAGCCAAAAGTAACTAGTTAAGTTAAAAAGTTAAACTTAAATTAACTTTTAAACTTAACTTTAACTTTTAAACTCGCTAATGCCCAGCCCCCAGCCTTGTGTACGGATATAGGTACTTACTAATAATAGTACTCACATAGTGTTCCAAATATTCTTAAAACATATTAAATATAAAAATTAATCTTAAGTTTTGTTTAAACTCAAACAAATATTCAAAACATTCCATAGCGCACAACAAAATAATTAAAACCATCCATTTTACTTTTATAATTATTGTTTAGTGAAAGTTTGACAAAAAAAAAAAAAAAGCATTAAATAATTAAAAATATTGGTACATTAAAAAAGTTTTTTTTTTGTTTTAGAAATAAATAATTGTATAAAGTATTCAGAGTACAGTTGTACTAAAAACTTATCAAAAGTAGTATTTAAAAAGTGTTAAAAATAATTCCTTAATTTAGAAGAAAGTAGGTACTTAGGTACTTACCTAAAATATTATTTTTTTTATTTAATTAAATTATATAGTATTGTTTTTTAGGTTTTTATATATTTTATTTATATTTTTCTATTTCACAATGTAAATCAGAATAATTAGTATGTGAATTACCAGCTAATAATCAGTATTGAAACAATAGTTTATTTTCTAACGCATTTCAATTTTACCTTTTAGACAACACAGAAGTAAAATATTATGAAAGCTCTCCTCGACATAAGTAGTGCTATACCTACTCTGCAAATTAAAACTGGATAGTGCTTAGCAATAAAAAAATAAGATGTTTTACTTTTATTCTACATTATTTCACTTCAGTACAATAAGTGAAGAACAATACTAATCTACAGGTCATAAATTTAAGATTTTTGGTTGACATTAAAAAACAAAACTAATAAAAATCACCATTATAATATAATATATACCCTACATACACTATCTATATGTATATACATTTTGTAATACTTGAGATAAAAAAATATTTCAAGAAAATATTATTTATATTATGTAAAATTACTTCTTTGATGAGCACAAACATTATTACGAAATATTATTTTACATTTATGATATATTATTACTATTTATTTATTTATTTATTTTTTATGATTAAACTAGCAAGCCTAATCATAAAATAACAACATATAGTACAGATATTATGTGATGCGTACAATTAAGTTTTAAGTGATTAAAAGAAACAACAGAGTTGCATATTAAAATTATTTGAATGTTGCATGGTTTTAATTAAACGAGATTTAATACCATTCTTTAGAATGGCTCATAAAAGTGTCAGTCTGTCTAGTTGTATGATCAGGAACTAAAAAAGTTAATTTCTATAATAGATCTGAACAGTAAATTTAGCCATTCAATAAATTGTGCACCATAGATACAGATATCCTGTTTAATCCTTATAAATTTGCCTGTATCAGGTAAATTATTTACAAACACGTACTTAATTAAATACATTCTAAATTATGTATAATATACATTGTATATAAATAATAAAATCATATTGTTCCTACTAAAATGTTTGTACGAAAACAAATTAAACAAAGTAAATACCACGGATAATTTTTAGAAAAAATTGTAAGAAAACAATTGAATTTCAATAGTACACAAAACTTTAGACAAGCAATAGTAATGCCTAATAACTAATAAGTAATAACACAACAGAATCCAATCATTGAATTTAAAATATCATATTGACAGATGCACATTATTAAATAATTTATTATAGTACGTCTTATAGGTATAGCTTTTCGAAATTAAATAAATTTTCTCAGTATACTGCATTAGTTATTTATGTGTTAATTCAGAAGGTAAAACAGTATTATATACCTACACTATATTACAGTGATTCTTAACCATTTCATAATTACAGATAAATTTATAATTTTATAAGAGCTTAGCAGACCACAGGCATAAAATAAAATAGTACCTACATATTATAATATATTATTTAATTTACACATAATATATTTAAAATTAAACAGGTAAATACAAGTTTACATACCAGTCAAGAGAAAAATATATAATTCTATGTTACAAGTAAATACGTGGAATTGAAAAATTATTTTTCATAATAGACGTTTTATTTTATAACTGATTTTCATAGTTTGACCATATACTTTATCTATGTTCGTGCGAGCGTCCATTTTCTGTGGAACACCGGAACCCCGGCACAAATTGTAACATAAGAATAAATATAATATGTTGTACGTATTACACTATTATTTTCCACTGTCAAATAATTCAAATTCATGTCATTGTGAAGGGTTAAATCGAAGAAAAGGGTAGACAACTTATAATTTTTAGGACTTGGATGTTTTGAATTTTATTTGAGTTCGAATTTTTAGCTGGTTGTCATAATATCATAGTAAGTTGTATCCTGTATGTTCATAATTTAATTATTAATTTCATAATTTTATATAAACAAACAGTTTAGTTTTTTTTAGTTTTTAGCACGGACTAAGGTATAATGGACTGGAAATGGACAGGTTGGTGGGTGACGGTTAACGTTAAGAGTAGTCTTGTGCGGGAGGGGTAGGAGGAAATGGAGAAGTGCAAATCTAGCTCTACCTATATTCATCATATAAACTAGATAGACCAATATATAAGTAGGTTCCCCTTGCCCCATTTTCCCTTAAACCTTAAGCGGTCCAGTGATGATAGGCTTTCATTTCCAGTCCATTGTATCTTAGTCCGTGGTTTTAAGGCTATTAAAATTGTTTTTTTTTATGTTTTTATTGGTTAGTTCTGTTCACACATGGACGTTCACAAAAACATTGTTGCCTTTAATTATATTAGTATTAATTCTTATTCAAATATAATGCTCTGTGGGAAATAAAATTTGTTTATTTTACAATTATAAATGTATAATTTATACGTATACAGTTCATATTAATTTAGTGCTTTCCCCAGGCGGGAATCGTCCACCCGTCAACCTAACCAAGCCCAATCGGACAATTATCTTTCGTATATTTTGAACATGCATTTTTTTTTTTTAAATTTGATTGCAACTTTAATGTTTAACTTCATTGTTCAAAAAATTTAATTTATATATAGGTAAACGGAAAAGGTATTTTTGGAAAAGTTTTAAAAATATAGGTGATAGGTACATTAGCCGAAAATGCATACCATCGTATATTATTATGTTCAATTAAAAAAAATGTATGTAGGTGCTCTAAAATATTTTATAAATGTGGTTGATCTTTTCAAAACTCTCGAGTCTCCCAAGTCTCCCAAGCACTTGAATTAACGTAATTTTAAGGGTAATGCATATTTGGTAAAATAATATAATTTAGTCATAATATGGAATTATAAAATATTAAGATACTTAGCAAAGGAAATCAATAACGTACTTTTCAAAAATGTTTATTTGGTTTCTAGCGGTGGTTTACAGAATCGTGCTTCTTAGAATTTTATCACAAATTAAAAAAGAAAAATAATTTTTATATAATTGTATGTATTTAGGATCTTCTCAATTCCAACATTTTCATAATAATAATCTAATTATCAAAATAATAAATACTTGTTTTAAAATTACATCCATACCTACTACATAATTAACCTTCATAATGCAGTGAAATTAAGTATTATTCAATAGGTATTAAGAAGTTTCAAGAGCAACAACAACAATTAATATTTCGTAGAAGTTTATTAAATTGAATTAAATTAATTTTGTTTGGTTCTCTAAATGTCCATCAAGATGGCACCGGTACTTAGTGCTACAACTTCAAACCAGACTTCAATAATTTGCTACAAACTTGCTACATTTTAATACATTTTTTTTAGAATTTGTTTCAATCTGAATTTTCCTGAATCCTGGAAAATAGAAAATATCCCAAAGCCTGTGCATTGTTCAAATGCCACGATATTTTTATCAACATTTTGTTACGAATTTGTTATCGTATTTTTAGTTTAAAAAATTGCATAACAAAATGTAGTGAATTCGTAGCAATTTTTTGATATTAATTTCGTGGTATTTGAAAAATGTGCCGGTGCTGGGAAATTTTGTATTTTTTAGGATTTCGGAAAAACCAGACTGAAGCAAATTATAAAAATAGCTTAGCCAACAAAAATACGATACTTATGTCGAGGTATTTAAACAATATGTTAAAAGGAAGTATGTTAAGTGTAAAGTTCACTGTAGGTACTATACTAAAATACAATCAATACATTATAATCATTAAACATGATACGTACAACCTACGTAACCATTTTATTGAATGGTCTTTTTTAATACAAACAGATTTTGATTGATGTTACACAATTGAAAAGGTATAACTGTAGATTAATGGCTGTTAAATTAGGTAAATAATACATTAAACAAAATTATTAGGTAATTAATGATAAAATTATAATTGTGACAACAATATTAGGTATGTATACTTATTATACTAGATATTGTTATGATCATAACTGAACATTTATTTTTATTCGAAAAAAGTGGTTATTTTAAAAGTCAAAATATAATAATGTTATGGGTGATCAAATCAATGGGCTTACAAACAAGCTATATGATATATTTATGTCTCTCTTAGATTTCTGAAAACTGCATCCTAGATGCTTTTACATCACACATAAATTAGAATAACTCAGAAACTACTCGTTTCAATGTATCTATTCAATACAAAATAGGTGACAGTATTCTTCTTACCGGCAATTCGATTTAGCACGACAGCTCTCGGCTAAGGAATGGCATGGCACCTTCGCCGGGCCATCCGCACGCTGTGCGCATTCCGGATGCAGCATCTCTTGAGCTATCAAACATTTGTCTTTGTTGACTCCAGATTTCCTGTACGAAAAAACGACAATATTAAAATAGTGTTATATAGGTCAATATTATTTATAAGTATTCTTAATTCAATGTTAACAATTTTACTTTGAAATCAAGACTATTGTTATAAAACTTGGTGTAAAACTATTTGGCATACTATTACTATACATATAAGTAATATATAATATAGTATGCCATATTTTGTACACATTCTGGATACCACAGACTATATACAATTTAGATAATCCCTGCTTAATAATAATTTGAGAATGTTAATAAATATTTTTTTTATATATATATTTTTTTTGTACTTGATAATAAAAAATTTAAACAGATATCATATACAATTATTTAGATTAATAATATGTAGTAAATTACAATAGGTACTATTATACCTACAGAAATATGGTATCTTCGGGTTTCAGTTCAAAAAATATTTTCTTATTTTAATTGAATATAAATAGGTATCTATACTATGATGTAATTTCTAAAGTTTATTGAAAACTGTCTTAAGCCTCTTCTGTGCACCTGCAGATTTGGCAAATGATTGCTCAATAAATTCCCTTATCAAATTTTTACATTTTGAAGCCCATACAGGAATTTATATAAAATTTGTATTTTTTACATCCATGAAGGCCAAACATATCTGTTTCTGTCTTACTTGAGGAGCTGCATAAACATTTATCATCCCTTTTATATTTCCATACGACGGGCTATTATTTTCTCGAAACAGTCGTTAAAAAATAATACTTTATTATATCATTATTATTAGCATTTAAAAGACGACTACGAGGCTTTCAACGTGATTTTATTAGGCGTGAAAAGCTTATAATATTTTAAATGGTAATACTTGTGTTTTACTGTCAAACACTCAAACGTATACATTTTGATTCAAATCATATTAAGAGCTCGACAAATTTTTTATTTGTTTTATTTAAACTATATTACAACTTTTTTTTTTTTGAACAACAATGTTGTAGTTTAAAATTAAAATTAAAATTTTAAATACCAGTATATAGTAGATGTTAACTTTACATAATATTTAAGTCAGAAATAGATGATTAAGAATCCTGTGACCCGTGGGTGGTATTTAAATACCTTCAAGAAAACTTCATAATATTTTTAATTATTTTTTGTGCTTGAAAAAAAAAAAAACATACATTTTAATGTTTTTTTTTTAATTGGCTCCCCAGCACAAGCTTATCTTTTAGAGGGTGCTGCATTATTATAAACTATTTAAGTATAACACAAAATGTATTGTATATAATTGCTGCAAATATATATTAATATTATTATTATTAAATGAGTCAATGTGTAGGTTTATTTATTTATTATTTAAAAATCGATAATTTAAAACATCAAAGACAAAGGTTAATATTTTAAATTGTGTAAGACAAAAAATAAAAATAAAAATAAAACTTTTATTGTTTAAAAATTGTTGTTAAATCATAAGTTATTCTGTTTTGTTTAATAACCATCACAAGGATTTTTTTTTAATAGTTAAAGATACTTAAAATGATAAAAATAAAATATATTTTAGACACCACGACCACGTTGTAATTATAACTGTAATAAAAAAAAAAAAATGTAATTCCAATAATAATATTAGAATACAGTTGTTAAAATTTTATTTCCCTTCCCAGAATTAAAACTGTAGTAGAAACTTAACACTATTTTAAATTTAATTTTGAGTTTAACTATACAAAATAAATATAATAACATAATTGACATAGTAAATTTTTTTGTTTTATTAAGAAACTAAACGAATATTTAGAGTATTAGGTATAATTAAATAGGAAGGTACAATTAGTAATGTGCATATCAATTTGCAAGGATCGAAGGTTTGGGTGAAGATGAAAAACGCGACATAATTTTTTTATTATAATACCACGTTAAAATCTAATATGTAAAATGTAGGTTTGCTGTTTATTGTAAAAAGAATCATCCTGTAGACATGTGTTAAAGTAACATAACAATAAATCGAATTTGGATATAAAAAGCTACAAAGTTTATTTTAATGGCGCAATTATTGTACAAACATAATGTATATTATTACTATAACAAACTGTACAACAATTTTTACAGTGAAAGAAACGCTATGAATACTATAGTCATATTATAAATACACACATAATATCATTGATATTATTCTATAAGCTACAATTACCTATCGATATTTTATACATATGTATAATAGTGGGTCGCACACCTATACAATACCCATACGACATAAATTATAAGGGCCTGGATAGTGGTTTTTGTTTGTTTTTACGTTTATTATTTTTCATTATTGTTTTTTTTTTTCCCCGAGGCTTTTTACATTTTACTTTTGTACATGTTGGAACTGCAGTAATTGTTGTTATTTTCTTTACAACAAACCTTTGACGGAACAATGCTGTACATTAGAACGAAGCCGTAGAAGGTATCACATGACTAATCGCTACCATTACTGCTATTTGTTTTACAAGCGTCTAGAGACAGTTCCCTATCACATAATCGGCCATGAATTCACGGTCATAAATTTATTAATACCTTTTCTATAGTTAATACTTCATCAGTGAGCTCCAATTTAAATTTATTTATTTTCCAATTAAAATGCAATTGTTATTGTAAATTTAAAATATATTGTATTTAAATAATTATTTAGTTATGTGAGCATTTAATATGAGCTCATTGGAAAATTGTAAATCTGTAACTGATACAAACACAATTGTTCATTAATTATTAATAAATTGTACTGAATATCTCCCTGTTTTCTATAGTTCATCGTTTCCACTCTATAAATACAATTAATTAATACAATTCTATTTGAAGGGAGCCTTTTAAAATTCCAAGTTTTATATAATATATTAGGTACTATATGAAATAGATATATTTATTTATTTTTTGTATTTATAATATTACTTACTTCAAATGTTGGTAATTTTGTGAGTGTTTACATTTAATCGTAGTAATGAGTAATTTGTCAATTTTTAATTAATACAATTATTGTAAAAGTGTAATTTGCTTATAAAAAATTGAACTATAGTGTAAAGTAAAGTAAACTGAAAATTGTAGTGTTCATGTATTGTCAAAGTAGGTAGGTAGGTAGGTATTTACCAAAATTCTCACCACTGTGATCATTGCTCGAGTGATAATGTACTAACTATAAATTGACAATAGAAAAGATATTCAAATTTATGACTGTAATCGTGACTGGTCATATCTTAAGGGAACTATTTACTGATTCAAGGTGCTGTCTCTAGACATTCATTTTTCTAAAATGTATTATATATAGCTCGCTACTAAAGTTATTTTTTAAATGTATCGTGTATTCGTGTCTCCTTTGATTATAGTTTCAGCCGTTTAAAGTTCTTAAATATTTCGTTAAAATAACATAATATTAAATACATACATTCAAAAAGCTAGAATTTTGACGGAAATTCATTAAAATTTCAGGTAGGTTGATAAAATTAGGATAAGCCCCCCCCCCAATCACCACTCATGATATAAATCAAAATGCCTAAATGCGACAAATAACAATTTTTGCTACGCCAGCCATAAATGTCTAGCTCCTTATTATAGTATTTCTCTGCATTGTGTCTACCTACTGTAGTGACACTACAATTATTAGCACACTATAATTCTCGTCAACTGGAAATATATCATTTTGATCTACAATTTCGAGAGAAATGAAATTTTAAGTTCCAGCGAATGATATATTGATAGCAATGACATATTGGAGTCATTCTTATAATTTTTATCAACATCTATTTGTTTAAATGAAATTTACGACTTGAACACCGATAATAATACTGTATATCCTGTTCGGATTATATAATAGACTCTCTGTTACATCACAAGTCTAAAAATATCAGCAGTTTTAGAACTTATGTTGGTCGGTGTCCATTAAAAGTTCCATAATATTTATTTTATGTTTTTTGAACAATAATATGTTACCTTCAAAATACATTTTTAGTAGTGCCTATTGTACTTGACATATGTTATTTTTAAACCGTAACGGTCGCCAGGTGAAATAGAAGGGTTATAATTATTATAAGAGAATACTCAATGTTTTCTTGAAAAATCGGTGTTACGTATCGATCGATGGTCGTACAGAATTTAATGGAACAGATAATAAAATTAATACATTATTACAATATACACAAACACGTAAATCAACACTCAGAATAATGTTGAGTGTTATCTATATAAATATTGTACATGGACTGTGGTTATGACATTTATTTCCGGATGGATTAATTTTTTTTCTTTGTTAAATTTTATTTTATATGTAATTGTAAAAAGTTTGTAGTTGGATCCAATAAAAAGTCAGCCATTGGAAAATGTCCACTATTGGGAGGTATTCGTTAGACGAGGTTCCATTATATTTTGTTTTCTAAAAGAATTCCTCCCTTATTTGCCTTTATTGTGCCATGGATTGAATATTTATATATATATACGGTATAACCGTATTCCTGGTCTAAGAAAATTCACAGACTTGTATTCCCTAGTGTAGAAACTAATGTAATTGGTGTTATAGGAATTATTATTATTTCCCAGTAATATTTAATAATGCCTAAGAAATATAGAAATGTATACGAAATATATTATAAGATAAGATAAAATATAGATATATTAAAAAGATATAGATACAATTTTGAAAATATGACTATTGACTATACTATATCTATGGTCGATGGCTGATGCTCTTTAGACAATGCAATAATAAAAATAAACATTTTTATTTGTACAAACTATGTTAATATTACTAAACCAGTTATAATAACATTTTTTTTTTCAAAACCGCAAACTACTATGGCATTTTGAGTTAAATATTTTATGAATAGCAGGGATTAAAATTAAGATATTTTGCTACAGCACACCTAATTCTAGACCAACATATTTTTAAATAATTGCACATGTCACATATAACTTCATACTATAATTTATTGTTTTTGCTATTTATTAATAATTAGTTATAATAAATACAGTCTAAGACAATCTTCTATAAAAGTCCTTGATACCTATAAGGCTATTATATAACTAAACATTTTAAAATTAAAAACGAAATAGCTTGGGTTAATATATTATACTTATTGTATTATAAGCCGCTCAGAATATGGTGTAGTCGGTATTATTTTTAGTGTTAAGTATTTTAAACGAATACAATATGCTAATTAGTAATTTTGAATAATCAATATAAATAGCCGGTTGGCGTTCATCTTATAATAAACAAAAAAAAAATAATAAAAAATATTGAATATTAATCAAATAAAAATGTTAAAAAGCCGAAAATAAGTATTGCACCCTTTAAAATTAGCTACTTCACATTTAATTTTATCTACTGCACATAGTGTGTGCTACTGCACACAATTGTAGGTCCTGATTAATAGTACGACTGGTACACATATTTTAGTCTCACATTTAGTTTTAAGAAATCCTTGTGGTCCAATGAAAGTATCTAAACCACTGCTACCCAAAAAATGTATCTTATTTTGTTGGGCTTGTTTTAAAATATATCTTAAGTTTTAACTGTTTCTGTTTGCGTGGATACAATTCTGTTCTTCTTCTTTCTATAATATAGCACATGAAAGTCGTTATAATAATAAACGAATTTAATAACATGTGTAAACATATAGGGATGCTCACGGCCCACGGGGTGAACCAGAATAATTAATTTCATCTATTTCAAAGATTGCATTTTATAAACGTCAATTCAACTCAATGTATACTACTTACGATATTTTAGATGATTTCTATACTATATTAATTATAAATTATAACAATAATAGTTCGTGATAAACTATGACAGTAATTTTGTATAATAAAAGGTACATTCTAGTGCTTGGCTAACACAGCATTTTAGACATATTTTCCCGAATTATCACCATTGCAGCGATAACACACATACTATTTTTATGTAACCGGAACTTGAGTTACTTAAAGAAAAATATATCAAATTATCACAATACTACATGTAACAAATAACTAAAATTGAATTTGTTCATGTCTTAGCGATTAACTTTAAACGTATGGCGAATAATATATGACTTAATGTTTAACATCATACTCGCATAAACTTCTGTTTCACCAACAGCGTAATTGTTATTATTATTATTATTATTATTATTATTGTTATTGTTATTTTAATATATTATAATTATAATATTATACTATTATAGTATTATACTATTATAGTATTATACAACATAAACGACCGAATATTTTATTAGTTACGACTATGGCGTGTTAATAATATCAAACGTCACCCAACCACGCGATTCGGTAGAATTTATATAAAGCACATAGTACCTAGGTACTACAATATTATTTTTATGTAAGTATTGTGGCTTACCACATAATACATATTACATTATTCTGGTACATTTTCAATTACGAAATACATCGCAATGCACTTTACGTTATAAATACGATGCCAGTCTCGTATTAATCTGTATCAGTGACCCATACGAGTTGGTAATAGATACCTAATATAATCACATTATAATATTACCTAGACCAGCAGACCACAATTTTACTTATAGATATTATTAAAATGTACTATAATATTAAAAATTGTCGTTAAGATGACATCTTGCTGACCCAAACACGTTAACACAAGAAAGGTGTATTTTAATTTTATATAATTTATATATATATATATATATATATATATATAAATGTTGCGTGAAAAATCAATTGAGAACGGCTGGTTCGATTTGGCTTAATTTGTTTTTAAGATGTTATCGTAATTGCCATGAGAATGTTTACGAAAGAAAATTTTAGGAAAATCCATTGGAAAAGTAGAAAATTTGAATGTAAAAAAAACAATATTGTTTCCATCTGTCCAGAAAAAATTTAACTAAATACCTAATAAAAAATTTAGTTTCAGATTAACATAATAATAGTGTGTTGTATATTGAAAGCTATTGGTTACGGGCATGTTGGTTTATTTGTATTATTATATTTTGTCAATTTATAAAAACAGCCGTTCTCGATTGATGAGGTAACATGCATTTTTCAAGCTCCATTTTTATATATATAGATGAATTTTTGTGTGTAGATTAATCTCTGGGAAGAAGATAGGCTAATTTAAAAAGGGTTAAATTTGGTTTTTTTATTCATTGGATTTTAGTATGGTTAGGTTAGGATTTTGTGTCAATTGATTATATTAATCCACGGTAGGTGAAATTAAGTAAAAATGACAAACTTGGTATAACTTTGATACTCTAGAGTTAAATCATAAACTTAAGTACAAACAGCACGGGGTCCGCGATCTACCGCAGGTAGATTGCCTACCTGATTATATACCTACTGCTGCAAACCAGAATTTGTATCGTAACGGAAAAGTTAAGATAAGTTTTGAAAACCATACACCGAATATTATATAGAGAATTGAACAAAGTTTGAGTCATATAGAGTTGGTACATTTAACGGGCATCGAAGTGCACGGGATCAGCCAATATAATTATGGAAATGAAAGATAAAAATAATACAACGCATAATATATTACGTTTATTATGGAGATTATTTTTAAAAAAAGTTATGATTGTTTAAAAATAGAAAATATACAAATTTAGTAATTAAATATTACAAAATAAATTTGGATATAAACCGATGATCAGAAGATCCATTAAAAAATGCATAACTTTTTCATTATAATTAGTGTTGTGGCTAAAAAATTGCAGTGCAATCTGTCAAAAACTGACGCCGTTCTTCGTTGTTATCCACTTGAATGAATTGTATGTATGATTTCATAATTATTATGCAACAACTCAACACGGTAATGACAAGGAACACTTTGTATCTTACATATGGGCGAAGTTATGTTCGGTCTAGTTTAGTTTCAAACCAAATTAGTTAAGTCTCAACCCTATGACCTTCAAGACATCACCAAGTTCTTTTTTAGGAGGTATGGGGTACATACAATTTAAAACTAAATGAGTAATGACTTAATCAAAATTAAACAATTATTGGTTAAATTGTACCTAAAAATGAGTGAGGATAAGCAGTTTGCTATTTTCGTTCGGAGCTCGGAGGGGCATTACAAAGAAAGGTCCAGATTTTATTTTACAAATACGGTCAACCAAGTATAAAATAATAACAGTTGTCAGTAAGTACTCACTTGCACAGACAAAACGCGATTTCTATTGCGTATGAATGCATCGATTCGTTGCGGTAAAAGTTTTGCAGCGACTCCATGCAGTTGGCTTTCTTGCACTGTCTGTGGTTGCAGTTCCGGATTATGGACGCCACCATTTCCTGGCACTGTGAGTGTTTGTTACAGGTTTCCAACGCCTCGTGACATGTACTTTGGAAGTTCAATATAGAGTTGTCGATTGGCGTCGATTTCGAACCTATATATATACGACAAAAATAAAAATCATTGAAATATAATAATATATACTCGATGTTGTACGGAAGAGAGTAGGTCGGATACTTGTACCCATATAATAAATTGGTGATTTTATAGGTTTCAGTTCGTCAATATAAGAAATTAATATTTGCCGATCAATACCCGTATCACCAATCGTTTCTGATTCGAGTTTCATAATATTATGCTTAGAAAGAAAAAAATGTATATAATTTATAATTAATTAAAACTGTATTTACTCGGTATCAAAACAATTTTACTAGTTATTGGTTGTTTATTAATATATATTAGAAGACTTTCTTAAGACCAACAAGAATCAAAAAAACCTTTTGCTTATCACATTAGTTTCTTTTCTTAAAGTAATTTAATAAGTAAGATTCTTAAGTTTCAACAGCACACGAATATGTTCAGGGGAGCCCATTATCTTCTTGAAGAATAAAGAAAAATAAAATAAATGGAAAAAAATATTTTTCAGAAGATTCTGATTCTAATACCTACCAAATACCTTAGTTTAGTTCCAGTAACAACACAGTAAGTTAGCGATTGACGTAGTAAGGTAGAATAATAAAATTGATGGGAGAAGGATTGGATATACATTTTGTTTCAATATAAAAATTCTCACTCAAAACATGGGGAAAAATATCAAGTTCCGATACCTAAATTATTGCAATTTGCATCACAAACAACTAATTATTTGTAGACGTTACATAACATGCAGACACTATACTTTTTTTTTAAGCATTGATATGTGCTGCATAAAATTAAACATAACATTTTGGTTATTAATTAAAAGATGGTCAGTTGTTATTGCTTTATAATTTTAAGTAGGGGAACAATATACATGTAAATTGAAAAATAAAAGGAAGAGACTCCTCCCCATCACTTTCTAGCCATATATTATTATGCACCACTTAAAAAATTATCAATTCAAATTCCAATAAAATAAACTATTATTCGAGATTAAAAATATGTAAAAGTAATATTTCACAGAGTTATTTAAAAATATGCTTTTTGGAAATATCACACTCAGTAATTAATGAAAAACTTGAAATGTTTATTTGCAACAATTAACGAGTACAAAATGCAGTAATAAAAAAGAGAAAAAATGAAAAATAACGTTGTCTAATTGTCGACCGTTTTTCTCTATAGAAACTCGCGCAAGCGAATCAACGTTTTCAATGCACCTTTTGGCTATAGCTAGTAGAACGTTCTGATTTTCCTCCAGATAGTACTTTAAGGATCATCAAGTACCTGATTTTTTAAAACTTAAGCTTTAAAGTAGTAACATAAAATTAATACTAATTTCTGAACAATTTTTCAAATGTCTTGGTAAAATAAATGCCTACCATGGCAACTGTAACTGCATTACATGCCAAAAGTATACAAACTATTCCATCCTCTATGTTTTAGTGAGTCCAAATACATCATACCTCCTGACAAACCCTGTACAATATTTAATGTGTATTTGTTTTAACTCAAAACTGTTCATTATATACACGTGTGTGGTTTATTTAGGGATAATAAACATTTCATTCTAAAACGACTATAACTTTGAACAAATAAAAGCCAAGGGTGGCTTATTAGTATAATACCAAAACTGGAAACGGTTAATTAATAGAAAATATTTGTCTATTTGTTTATACGCTGCACTGCTTATACTCTGTTTAGCGAGAGACCACGACGCACACCGACGAAAACTGGTTCCCTCCACACAACACTCTGCCATCGGGGAGCCGGTTTCGATAGTATGGTGACGCGGAGGAATGCGCAGAATTTGAGTGCTCTCTCACTGAACAGAGTCTAGTACCATGTGACTGCAGCAGTGGGTAGTTTTTTTTATTCATTATTTAAAATATATATTAAAAAAAACGTCTAATAATGTGACACTCCAAACACTTTGATTCTAAAACAGACAATGGACTTAGAACAATATTTACTTCTCGAAAGTGGCAAACACTACAAACAAATTGTCTGAAATATTATCCTTAATATTAAGCTCAAGCTTTATGGTTAGGACTTTAGGAGTATAGATTTTTTATGTATAGGTGAGAAGGAGTACGTTTTGTGGATTAGCCAAGAACATTCTATACACATTGTATTTGATTAGGTGATATTATCATTATAGTTTTACTTGTCGTAATAAAGCGTATGGTTTCAATGTTAGTATATTGTTGGTTACAATATATGCACACCAACTAAGAATAGAAGCTTGAGAGATCTTCGATTCCTGAAGACCAACTCAAATTTGACTAAAAAACGGAAATATCGGTGAACACAGAACACTGATGAAAACAGTATTAAAAATGTAAAGTCAAAATCAACAAGTTTTAACATATGGTATAACAAAAAAAAAATGAATTATACTAATGGTATGTTCATGGATATATTATGTCACTTGATCTGAGACACACCTTTAAATTTTAAAGCTTTTTACTAGTGACGTTGCTTCAATATTATACAATTGTACGAATGGGCGAACAACCACCATTACTTCCACACTCTTCATAATATATTATTAACTGAATACCATATTTGATTTTGGAGTATACTTACTTATTTTAAATTGAATTACATGTGTATTATTAACTCAAGAAGATGTCAGATGCGTGAGTGTAAACAGTAAAAATCCAATTTGTGTGGAATACACCGCTTTTTATATATTATTTATAATTGAAAGACTAAACTTATATCAAAGATAGAAAAGTATAATATGTATTATGTAGTGTCTCAATGATTCCTAAACAGATTTTTAATAGTTAATTTGTTTATATTTTACATTTATATTAAAACTAATCAGTAAAGTCATAGAAAAAATAAAAATCATAAATCTGTACAGTTAAAGTTTTCTTCTATATAATGAAAAAAATATAATATACGACATATAAATATATATAATGTATAATATATAAATATGTATATAATGGTGTTAATTCTGACAAAATAGTTCAAATACATACTTTAGTTACATAATATATTACCTACGCAATGATCTGGATATTGGTTTCGGTAATCACCTATAATGCCTACTTGGAAATATGTTTTTCAGTTTTAAAATTATATTATTATTCACACTTCTAATAATGTCCTAATAATTTCTCTGCTTAATAGAGTGGTAACCTACCTAACTATAATATGAGATAAAATAATTATTTGATGTTTGTACTCTGTTAAAATTCATAAAACATTTTAAATACGTGTTAGTTGGTAGAAACATATTATCAATCACAACACCACTTTTACCTTTTTAACTACCAGTTGAGCTACTAACAGTTTGTATTATATGTGGCATAATGGTATGGACGGGAATCAATTTTTTAATTTATTATGTACATTTATTGTTATATTTAAATGTGTGCATAGGGTAGTGTCTAACCATATAAATGTTACACAATTTGAAAGTGAGCATTTATTTCGATGCATAAACGTTGTGTTTAAGTTTAGTCCCATATCTACCTACTGTAAATTATTATTTATTTTACATACTTTAATTTAATATCAATTTGTAGAACATAAAATAAGTATTAAAGTGTTTCATACATATTCTGTTTATTATAACACTCTAATTAAAATCCTGTACATAGTGTATACCTATACTATACATCTATAAAATCCAAATAAACTAATATACATTTTAAGAAACAATTTTAATACATTTTTTAAAACAATTATAAAATGCAAATATAAAGCGAAATCATAAAAGTTTATAATCGTTAAGAAATAATATATTGTTCACAATTTTTCTAATTTATTTTTCTGGATGATCCGAGGACCAAAGTAAAAAATAAGTAATAATATTTATATTACACAAGAGAACTATGTTTCAATAAAAAAAAAATTCTCCTTAGAAATTATAGCTCTGATAAGATTATCGAAACCATTGAAAATATCCTTCTATACTGAACCAATATTTAAGATTGCTGACATTGAATTTGAAAACCGTAGATGTACAGGTCAATGGATGACGGCACGGTGTAATGAAAATAAATATATATAAATGTTCCGTATGTACTTAAGGCTTTATAGGTTTTCTCGAGTATATACTATATTTGAAAACATAAAAAAAAAATTCGGGGAAAGTTGTTTTGCTATATAGTATGCTTCAAATGTACCTCGTCATTGACTACTGTAATGGTTGTTTTAAAATTAAATTACGTGATACATTGTTGTACTATTGTACCTATACGTAAAACAATTTTCTGTATAGACAATGTGTCAGCGTATATTTATAAATTATAAATTTATCATATAATTAATTAAAACTCTTATTAAATATGCAATTTATTTATTAATATACTGTAATAAGGTATTTACGTCGGATACATTTTTTCCCAGAAACATGACGTATCATCATACTGTCTATTTATATAGGTAATAACTATTAAAATTCAATAACTGTAAGTTCATAAGTGAATTTGGAAACTGTAAAAAGATGTGAATAGGTGAGTATGATATAAAGCTAAAAATTAGTCTAAATACCTATTTAAAAATGTATTGTGTATTAAAATAATAATATAATAATAATAATGGGAAAAAATGTTAATTATCTACGATTAATATTTTTTGAATACCATTAAAGTAGCTAAAATAAATTATTATTAAATCTTATCTACAATGTACTTTATTTCTGAGTGTATAGCAAATTAATAATATATTGTATTTATGTCTTATGATGATGTGTTTTTTTTCTGTCTCATCAACATTTGGTATAGTAAAAATACTCTGATTTTCGACATCAGCATCTTTTATCGAATAAAAGCAGTGTATTTTCTGATATGATAGTGAATATAGTTGGTACTTTTAAGAGGTGAAAATCATTAGTTTTTGAAAACGTCATGAAAAAAAAAGTGAAAAAAGTGGTAATTTTTACGCAAAACCAATTTTTGAAAAAATCTTTTTCATTTTTATAGTGTTACACTTCATTCTTTAGCGTATAACTGTTGACTCTTTTTTAGCTATTTCCTTATAGCCATGATCATTTTTCAATTTTTTTTTTCAAATTTGTCAAACTATTCTTCAGTTAGAAAATCATAAATAATTTTATTTTCATAGTTAACATTAGAAATTTTAATAGAATATTTCAAACAAGTTTTTTTACTTTTGTCATAAAAAAAAGAAGTCACCGGAAAGAAGTTACGCTATTTATACACATATATTTCAGATTATTATTATTTTTTTTTT